GATATTTGAAATATGAAATGTAGGAGTATTTTTTAGTGGAAGTGTCGTCTTCTTCTTTTCTTTCCCTCCTCCCTTTTATAGGGAGGAATTTACATGCATCCTTCAGTTCCTATCTTATCAGCTACAGTACCAAACTAAGAATGTACACTTTCTGGCATGTTTGGATTGGTTGACGAGCTCGGCTTGTCAGATCATCATGAGTTTAACCTCACAGGTAGTCCCCAACAATTAATGAATTACTTATGGAATGAAACCAAAGTATATGATTAGTAGATTTGACGAACGCTGATGTAAGATCGTACATATGTCACTTACTAATTGACTGTCAGTACTATGTGTAAGAAATCTTCAATCATTATGTTCCCTTCGGCCTCGATAGAATCAATGATCCGAGCTGACCTCATATACCGAACTCACTTTAGCATAGACCTATTGTATACACTAAACTGCACTTATCGACCTCGGAGGTCGGACGCTAACAGTTACCCCCAGGTCAGTGCTTCGTCTAGGCGACGGACTAACCTCGAAAGTGTTTTGGCACATTTTCATATTTTTGAAATCATTACAACAATAAATGGTGTGAATAGGTGTCGCATCGTAACTTGTGAGTGAGTTGTAATGCACGATTTATTTATTCCTTCGAAAACTTCGTCAAAACGACGTCGTTCTAAGTAATTAAATCTAACCATCCATTTTTCCCTCATTTTCTTCACCCTAGATTGCATCCTTTAGTATTATTTTCTTTAAATAAATTTGACAACTTCACTTTTTCATTTTAGCTTCTCCTTTCTGCACTTTGGCTCCTAAAAAATTTTCTTCACGCCTTTCTTTACTTTTCGAGTGAGATCGTCTATATTCAGGTATTCCCCTTAACAAGAATACCTTTCATTTTACTTTATATTGTATTTTTACTTCGGTATTTTATATGAGTTTAGATGAATCGAGGGAACAATCTTGGGGTAACCAAAATGAGGAAATAGTACCTTTTTCGTCTTCTCTCGTTTAGCTTGTCCTCCGCTAGTTCGGACGGTCAGGAAGTTTTGACGCCAATCCCCCTTACCTCAGTCCATCCAAAACAATTAGACACTTCTAGGAACATGGGGCTGAACCATGGAGAGGAAGAGGTTAGACCTCGGGGAGGCAATGGAGAAAACACTCGTAAATGGAGGGCATATTCCTATAGGTCAGTGGTCACTTAAGACATGCTTGCCATTTTAAGGGCTAAGTATGGTATTCCCAGTTCAGTAGAGCTTGTTATCCTAACTACATCCGACCGAGCTAACAATCCTCCATCCGAATGTGTAGCTTTGAATTTGGCCATTTTGAATGCAGGTTTAAGACTGCCTTTCCCTAGGATAATTCGACAATTTCGTTCATCCTGGGGGATAGCCCCCAACTCAACTTTGCCCTAACGGTTGGAGGACCTTGATAGCGACCTTAATATTGTGGAGCAAATTAGGCTATCCCGAATTGAGTGTTGTCCAATTTAACTCACTTTTTAACTTTAAAGAGGACGGGAAAGATTCTGGCTGGTGGTATGCCAGTGTTAGGCCTAGAACGGGAGGTCCATTAGTACTAGACACTCCATCTTCAATAAAGAAATGGAATGAGGAATTTTTTTATGTGTTAGAGGAGTGGCAGTTTCATCCTGCCGAGATGAATAGGAGGGGACGTTGTTCGTACCCTTTATCACCCTTTATATAAGTGGACATCATATTTTATATCTCTTCCTATTTTTGTATTAAATTCATCTTTCGAACTAATTTGCTCATCCCTTGCAGATTACAAGAAAGTTGTTTTAACCAAAGCAGTATAAGAACGAGCTGACGTGATTAGATCTCTCCTGAGAAAACAAAAGTCATACAAATCTATCATTTGGACTCCAACCTCTTCCAAACGGGGTTACTCCCGACTCTCCCGAGTTGAGAATGAAAGGAAGAGAGCTGACGAAGAAAAGTTCAGGCTGATGAGGCCGTAAAAAGAGCTAAGGAACCTGGCAAGAAGGTGGAAGAGGCTGATCTCAAAGCTTCCAAAGCGGATGAGAATTGGAGGGCCTCTCATGAGTTCGACGCACTAGCTCAGGATGCCTATGTTGTAGCTCAGGGTGAGATTTTAAAGCATATCAACAGAGAAATGCCAAATTTCAACACTTCCTTTTTGGTGGAGGCATACAAAGAACAAAAGAAAGAATTGGAGCAGTTGTCGAAAATGACAGGAGTTCGGATCTCTCCTACCGATGAAGACATTACAAATGAGTTCTCCAAAGGACCTCCCAACCTCATAGTTTTATTTTTGTTATTTTTTACTTTTGTCGAACTTTAAAACTTCTTAAGGTACTTATTTTTGTAATCTTGATCCATTAATTAATGACTATCAATTTTGTTTTTATTCTACGTAAAATATTATTACTTCTGTAATTCTCATTATAAAAAATGAAATTTGCTATGTCTGTTTAAACTGAGTGTTGCAGCACATGCAACCTTAGTTCGGCATGTTCTTTAAATGAATTCCTTGTAGAAAATTTCACTAAGGGTCCGTTTGATTGCAAGGGTGGAAAATGGGTAGAAAGAAAATGTTTTACAGGGAAAAGATTTGCCTAGAAAATGTTTTGTAGGGAAAATGATTTAAAGTGTGTTTGATTGGTATAATTTTCCACCCGAAAAATTTTTAAATTTTCTATTCGTTTGACTTTGTTTTNAATACGTCTAGAATTTGTTCTAATTACCAAAAAGTAAAAAATAAATAAATTTAAACAATTAGAAAAAATTACCATATTCGTTTGACTTTGTTTTACATAGAAATTGTCAACAAAAATGAAATTTTTTTTTACAATAGTTGATAGAATTGGTTGTCTTTGCTAAAAAAAAAGGTGGAAAATGTTTTCCCAACTAATAGGTGGGAAAATAAAATCAAGCTTTTGTGTATCAAATGATTGTACCTAGAAAAAAAGTGGAAAACGTTTTCCATAGAAAGATTTACCTATCAAACAGCTTTTCAAGGGTGGAAAAAGAAATGGAAAACTAAGGCTATCAAACGGAGCCTAAGTGTTGCAGCACATGCAACCTTAGTTCGGTGAATCAATAGTTCTGGATATTTTCCCATTCTACAAAACATTTGTTTTATTACAGACGACATACGTGTGATATAAAATACATTCTCTGTTCTACTGTAATACTTCTTAAGGTGTTCTGCGTTCCAAGGTGCAACAGAGGTCTACCCTCCATATCTTCCAGCTCATAAGCCCGCTTAAGTAGTACTTTGGTTACTTTATAAGGGTCTTCCCAGTTAGGTCCTAGAGATCCGGAGCTAGATTCTCTTGTATCCAAAAATCTTTTTCTTAACATCAGATTACCGACCTCGAACTCTCGTTTTCTAACCTACTGATTATAGTATCTCGCATTGTGTTGCTTACATACGACATTCCTGATTTCGGCATCATTCATTTTCTCTTCTACTAAATCCAGTTCTCCTCTCAAGGCCTACTCATTTCCTTCCTCTTGATACATCGTCGTTCGAATAGAAGGAATTCCTATCTCAAGGGGGATAACATCCTTCACCCCAAAAGCTCAAAAGAAAGGGGTTTCTTCAGTACTATTCCTAAACATAGTACGATAAGACGATAGTACGCT